TATGACGTTCCGTTTGCACTTTTATTCCAGCGCAGCGCACTGTTGATAATCGCGCAGCGCACTGTGAGTGGGTGACGTGACATGGTTTGTGACTGATGTATCCCCAGCCCATCTTCTGCTTCATCACGGCTTATGGGAGTGATTGTAAGATACAAAAACTCCTCAGAATATTTGTTTGAAGTACTGGGAAGCTTTCCGAGCCGGAAAACTGGGCCCCAGACTATTGCATTCGAATAAATATAACATATAAGTCACTCATGTCACATATGTGACTCTGTCACTGGATGGTGTCCGCTCTAAGTCCACTGAACATCTGCTGTGGCCTGTCGGCAAGCAGACGAGACTTCCTAACAATTTGATAGGTGTGTATACATGTATAACTAGACATAACATATTATACTTTATAACCTAGTATTGTATCCGGAGAATCCGGGAGCCATCATACTAGTATGCAAGTGCAATATGATAGTCTATATCTTGTAGTCATCCGCCCATGGGCTCTCCTCATCCTCCTCTCCCGGCTGAAGATCGTCTGAAAGCTGTAAATAAGGGTCATGTCTTGGATGAGTCCCAACTGCCCTTGGTAAGTCAACATCGAATGAGGGATCCAGCCATGTCGATGGGGCTCCACCCGCGGTGGCCTGGCTTGTCGTGGCAGCGCTAGCGTCACTAGCTGCTGATGCACGCGATGATATGGAAGCCAGGAGAGCGGAGGGAGGTGGCGGCGACGGGGAAACATGAAAGAGCGGTGGCAAAGGAGCCTCTTGACGCGGTCGCAGACGGCAAGCGACGGGTGTAGTCGGCTCATATGCTGATGCAGAATCGGAGTCCGAGTCAATGGATATTGGCGAGTGCACTGTGTATAGGAGCATGAGCAGCAGCAGCTGAAAGGGACGAAAGGCCTATTGTAACATACCACGTCTAGTAGATCCTTTGATGTCCTTGATGTCCATCCCTACGCCGAGTCGTCCTGTCTTCACAGCATCCCGAGACTGTTCACCCGCATCGTTGGCGCCAACATCCATCTTCATCGCACCCCCAGGCGATGTAGTCGTGCAAATCTCCTTGGCCTTTCCCTTGTCTTTCGTCGTGCCGTTACCTATAACAACGTCTGTCCGATGTCCAATCAGGTACATGGAATATAGTAACACATTCAGTTGGCACACACCTTCATCTTTCTGCCCCTCCGGGGCGACTGGAGGCTGGTGATGAATGAGATTGAAGTGGCTACAGTCATCGGGACTCAGGTCTGCATCCTCCTTCCAACCTTGTGTGTAAAGATCAGACGGAATCTCAACGTTTGTCGCTAAGGTCAAGTGTTAGCACGAAATGACGCATATATGCACAATACATACCAATATGAATGACGCGCTCTTTGTTCTTCCGGCCCTTACCACCCTTGCATGTATCCAGTGCATCGCCGTTTGCCACTCGGGGGTACTTCATCAGTTTCGTGCCAGTTTTGAGCAAAAGCGTCCAAGGGCGTTCGGCACCCGCTGTGTTGGACTTGTCAAGGAAACGGAACACTTCAGGGAACAGCCCGCGAAGCCAGTCATCCACATCTGACTCATCCCATCCGACACGGAAAGAAAGCATCGATCCCTCACTGTTTCGGGAGACCGCAAGCTTCTCCGGCTCTCGCAACAAAAGGCGCTCGATCTTCGGTGCAATAGTGTCGTGCGGTTCACCATCTTCATCCTGTCAAAGGTGGTCAGCCCGAAGACATTGAAAACGAAAATATCTTACCAATCCGCCTGAAATGATGACAACCCAACCAATCGGTACGGTGGCCTTGCCTTTTGGCTCTTCCTCGCTGGCTGCTGGTGTACTGAAAGCCTGGACAGTGGTAAGCCTAAGCAGACGACACTATGCAGAGCACTTAGAAGTTGCATACCTTTTTCTTTTTCTTATTACTGCCCGATCCTTCGCCGCTAGAGGATCGCTTCAGACCACTATTGGTCTCCTTGACTGCGACATCGGCTGAGGCCTTCAATACGAACTTGGTTCCAAGGCCAAGTTTGGCCGGATCTCGGTAGGAGTTCATCACGGAAGCGATAGATTGAGGCGCAGATGGGTGAGAAGACTCTGCATGCCCACAATCGCGGCAGAGATGTGGACTGTTGGGATCCTGGTCCACCTTGCGTATATGTCGTAGGCATGTACATGGCTTGCCTTGCTCATCAGTGCCTCGGCAGGTTGGAGTGTCCATAGCAGACACAGGCGGTGGTACCAGGCGTCGAACGTTGAGCCTTCTGCAAAGCAATTTTTAATTGCTCAAGTGTACCTTTTATAGGGTGGCGATCGGGCCTGGCAGGGAGTGGCAGCTTGACTCACACGTTCAGCGGGAGACTGCCATCAGCTGTAACAGCCTTAGTGTAGAGCTACCTGAGGGCCCATAAGTATACCATGAATCATACATTATCAGGCGATGGGCAGAGAATCATATGCCCTTACTGATATCACGGCAGAGGCCCAGGCAACTTAATTTGGACCACTGGAACCCCATCTGTGTGCGTTTTGTGTAAGATGTGTTCGGTGCACATAATATCTTAGTTGGCAAGTGCAAAATGTCCGGAATAGGAGGATAGCATTGCCAGCGAGATGGTGAGTAAGGAAGAGATACAGGAACGTAAATGCGGGGTTTGTTGGTCCTTGTGGGTCCCACAACAGTAGCCAGCGCGTAACCGAACAATTACTCCTCGTCCTCACCATCTAGTAACAATCTGGTCATGATATCTAGGGCCTGTGTCCAGAGCACCGCACGGGGATACCACACTTCTTCAGGCAAAGCAACTCTGAGCTGTTTACCTTTTGTGCCGTATTTAATAAGCTCCTCCTCAGGGTAGGCACCGTCATCCCACTCGTTAGGGATAACGCCATACTGGCTGGGAAGGATGCCCTGGGACGAGACAGTGGTGAGTATCTCTGTGAACCTGTCTTCCGCCTCCTTCACCGCAAATGGACACCGACTACGGGGCACTTTGACAGGCTTGTGCCGCACGTTGTGCGCTTGCGTCGCCAAGATCTCCCGGACAAACACATCCTCTGGCTCGACATCTTCGGCGTCAGATACTGACTCATCCTCGAGATCAGTATCTTCTTCATCTGCATGGCCGGCACCTGTCTGCCCTTGATGTCTCTGGCGCTCTTGACCCTCGATCCCGTGGTACCTGTTGAGGATATCGGGATGGACCTCCTCGAGAGGGTCTTCGGCATAGATTCCCTGTGATTCCCTGTGATGTTTGCCCCAAAAAGCGTATGTCCTGTAGTGTATCTCAGCCTACATGTGCTGACTGGAGGAGATAGCAGCATACACCTACAGCGGGAGAGCGATTCTTAGTCTGTCGTCCAGCTATTGGGTGGGCGTTCCACTGCGCTTGGAACTCCTGGCAGTCTTCGTTGATGGTGTCCAGGAAGAGTTTATGTAGGAGCCATATGTGCACTGGATTCTTCCTGTCCAGTCGGTGCAGACGTCCCAAGCGTGTGAAGAAGCCTCTCCATCGTCTCGCAAACTGGGTCCCGACCTCCACCCAGAGCCTTTCGATTCGGGTATTGTGTGTCGAGCTTTCATTTCGTGAGTGTCCAGTCCCTGCTATGCACAACGGTGAACTCACGAGCCCCACATGAATGAAGCCCTGTTCGGACCCCGATGCATTATCATCCAGACTGACACCAGCACGTTCTCGCCCCCGCGGTCTCCTCGCACCCGGGATGGTGTACCATACGCGGCTATGGCATCCAAGAAGACCTCCAAGACTGTTTGCGACCGGTTGTTGGTGCTTGCCCGTAGGCCAGTGACCTTCATTATAACATGAGTTATTTTCGGCCTCGGGTAACTGACATATCTCACCATGCGGCAGTATCCATCAATAAAGCCATGTATCACGACTCCCCACCAGATAAGCTTATGGTGCCCGTCGCAGTGCCACAGATAGTTCGGGCGAGGTACGCTGTACTTCTTGCGCTGAATATGTGTTCGTCGGCGCAGTGTCTGCCCAAGACTGTCAACCCGGCGCAGTGAGAGCATCACACGTCGCTTTTGAACTCTGACACCATGAGTGCGGAGGAAACCAATGAGATAGCGAAGCCCTGAGTTGGGCTTCGTGGCTTTGAAGATTTGGACAAGCCGGTCCAAGTCAATGTCTGATAACTCGTCAAACCTCCGCTGTAGACCATATGCCTTTAAGTACTTCGTGAGGACATTGCGGTGCATATGAAGGATCTTGGCGAGTTCTGTGACACTGATATTTCGCTTTTTCGACATTGCTTCACGAACAAATACAGGGTCTGGAATTTTGCGAGGACGACCGCGGTGTCCCGTATTGCCCTCCTCGACTGTCTGGACAAAAACAACATTGTTCCGCTCGCTAGAGAATTATAGCATCACTGCGTGATATAGATCCTGGACAGGCGTGAAGACATACAAGCCTTCCGCTGCTAAGGCAGCCATCTCCAACTCGTACACCAATGGGCCAAAAGCATGTGCACAGGTGTAGGACCAGTCCCTTGGGACCCCTTCTTGTTCGATCCCTTCCAGGATTGGGACACTGTCATTCACGACTTTCTCTGAAAGGAGTTTCAGCTGGACTGGATCACCGTCATCTTGTAGCACAATGTCCCGAGCATGCCTGTACAGTTCATGGAGCATATTGTAGCCATTCCGAATGTTCAGGGACCAGTCTTGTCCGTCAGGAACAGCAGGTAATGGAGGGAGTTCAGGATGGAGGTCAGGCATTATTGGGCTGGTAGATGGGAAGGTAGATGGGGACGGGCGCAAACCGGGTGCCTCCGACGCTGATTGCTGAGTCTCGCAAACGTTTGTCGGGCAGGCTGTCTTGAAGCTCTGCTCACTATGCACAACAGCGGAATTACCCTCATCAAGCACCCCCAATATTACTATGCAGATGGTCAGATTGTCTTTCAGGTAAGGGGCATTCATTATACTGGAAAAGAGTATCCAAATCGCGCTGATACAGAAAAGTGCGAGGGATACCTGTACCGCCTATACAAAGGCATCCTGATGCAGAAGTCCAAGCTCTTCAAAGCAATGCTATCGCTTCCCCAGCCTCACTGGCAAGGCGGAGGAGACACGACAGCTGGAAGCACAAAAGCCGCCCTTGATGGGGCAACAGATGAAACTGCTATTAATCTGTCAGAGAGCCATACATCGACAGAGTGGGATCACCTCCTCTCCTTTCTCTTTCCTGTGTAAGCATATATAGAGTACTTGACAGACTTCTCGGAGCTCACCTGACTATAGATGGACCGGGGAAGAACGTCCTGTTGACACCTTGATAGATATCTTGAACCTCGGGTCATTCTATGAGGTTGAGGAAGCAAGGGAATTCGCAATACAGACCCTCAGCGTCAGACAGGACTTCAGGCCAGCATTACGGCTCAATGCTGCCCGACGAAACAGGATTCTGACCTGGGTAGAGCCCGCAATGCGGCAGCTATTTCAGGCCTCGCTCGCGGATCTATCAGACAGTGATGCGAAACTTATTGGCCCGGAAACGTTACTGGATGTCGCATGTACCAAAGCGAAGATAGAGACGCACAGGAAACGTCTTGCACTCTTCCCACCGAAGGTCGTGCACTCGGCGTACCTTTGCGATGACAAGGAGGGTTGTACTCACGCCTGGAATACCGCCTGGTGGGGACAGTATGACAGGCCCGGTGTTGCAAAGGCTATCTTACAGCTTCAGAAACCACTGCCGGGGCGAGAAGTTGTAGAGCGCGTCCAGGCTATCAATGTTGAAGGGATGACTTTCTCTTGTAAGAGGCAGACGCTCGAGAACCTCCAGAAGGAACATGTTAAGGGGATGTTCTCAGCAGAAGATAGGCTGATACAAAATGTAATTGACCATATCTACAAACATCTCGAACAGTCAATGTAATATCCATTGTACACATCGGCACTTAGACCGCCTCCAAGTGAGCTGCGCGCGATTTTCTAAGGTGCTGCGTGCTAGTCTTACTGTGCGCTGCGTGCTAGTCTGAGAGGTGCGCTGTGCTCCCACGGATGCGCTGCGCAGAGCACCGAGCGCGCTGCGAGGAATAAAAGTGCAAACGGAACGTCATATGGCTCGGGGTCCGAACTTGTCGCCAGAAGCGCACTCGAAGAGCATTCACCCTTGAGCTCCCAGGTGGTATACAGGCTCCTAAACCATCCGTCCTTAGCGTTCTCGCTCCTCCTTTGCTAGGGCGCACATGCAGTCACGGCGGGCAAAGCAGGTGTCCTTTTTCCGGACGGCAGGAAAAAGGACACTATGTCCTTTCACGGCGACCATCAGTGGGTCAGGAAGTAAATCTGTCACGATTGCGTCATGGTCGTGACAATGGGTCACGCAGTCTGCATTTATAATATGAAAAACCCTCGGACGCTCAGTTTTACAAAGCGAAGCATGCCATATGACCCGATAGGTGACTTTCCGTCCATATTCGGACCTTAGGCTCCCATCCGAGCCGTAACATCACACTTCGGCAGCTACCGTCTCGGACCTCCAGCAGCGTCTACTTAGGTGGCACTGGGCAGAGTACCGTACTTGCATGGTTTTTGTATCCATCAGCAAGCAAGGTGGAATGTA